AAAAAAAAAAAAACAAAAAAAAACCAAAAAAACAACAAAAAAAAACAAAACAAAAAAAAACAAAACAAAAAAACACCAAAAACCCAAAAAAACCCCAAAAAACCCAAAAAAACCCCAAAAAACCCCAAAAAACCCCAAAAAACCCCCAAAAAAAACCCCAAAAACCCAAAAAAACCAAAACTAAACAAACAAAAAAACCCCACAAAAACCCAAAAAACCAGAAAAAAAAAAACAAAAAAAAGAAAAAAACCCAAAAATAAAAACAAAAAAACCCAAAAAAACCAAAAAAACCCAAAAACCCACACACCACCACCCACCCCCTAAACACACAACAACAACAACAACCAAACCAAAACCCATCACCCACCCACACAACATCCCACCACAAACCAATAACCTTGGGCACTAGAGCATGCCCTGAAGAGCCATGTCTACACGTTTCTTAAATCCCTCCAGGGATGGTGACTCCACTCTGACAACCCTTTCAGTAAAGAAATGTTTCCTAATATCCAGCCTGAACCTCCTCTGGCGCAACTTGAGGCCATTTCCTCTTGTCCTGTCGCCTGTGACTTGGGAGAAGAGACCAACACCCCCCCCGGCTACACCCTCTTTTCAGGGAGTTGTAGAGAGCAATAAGGTCTCCCCTCAGTCTCCTCTTCCCCAGACAGAACAACCCCAGCTCCCTCAGCCTCTCCTCATCAGACTTACTCTCCAGACCCCTCACCAGCTTCGTTGCCCTTCTCTGGACCCGCTCCAGCACCTCAATGTCCCTCTTGTGGTAGGTAAGTAGTCACCAGGAGGGAAAGGAAAACTCTGGGCTGGGCTCCGGGAGGTTCCCCCCCCCCCCCCCCAGGCAGCAGGAGGTGCCCATTCATTAGCTTCATTAACATTAGTAATTAGTAATCCCATCGGGCAGCACCTCCAGGGCATCTGCTGCCAGGCATGGAGAACCGGCTCCCATGGGTGGCCAACAGGGCTCTGGGCTCGCACCCCCCAGCCCTGGGCAAGCCCAACACCCAAATGAGGGAGCCCCCCTCCTTCCCCAGCACCCCAAAAGCTGCCAGGACAGAGTCACACCCACCCCAGGGTGGTGGATAAGGAGGGGCAAAGACACCCCCCCCCTTCAAACTGCCAAAAACCCAACGCACGGCAGGGTAGAGATATAGATATATTTGTGATGATGTTGCATATTTAAGACAACTTTACATAATGCTTCCGACAGAGTTTGGGCACGGGGGGGGCAGCAGGTCTCTGCCCTGGCACACCAAGGTTCTCCATCTCCCTCCGGCGCCAGGAGCAGCCTCTTACAGCACCAGCATCCCGAAACCACGGAGACTGGGAGCGTGAGCCCAAAGCCCTGGGCTTTGGAGGAAGGTGAAGGATGGCACAGATCTTTGGAGATAGCAAAACCCCGCTGGGCAAGCCACCGGCTCCTGCTGCCCCTGCCCCTGAGCAGAAAGGTGGGCCCAGGTGGTCTCCAGCTTCTCTCCAGCTGGTCCCCAGTAGCTCCCCTGCCCCAGCCCTGGGCAGGAGCGATATCTCTTCCCAGGCTGTGTGTGAATTCCCGCTGCAGTCCCACACAGCACAACTGAAACGTCTTCCCAGGGTGAAAATCCAACCCAGACTTGTCCACACAGCGCCGGTCCTCAAGAAAGGAAGGTCAGGCAGTGCCCAGGTCTGGGAGGAGGGTGAAGGAAGGGGATGCTCCGCTGCATCCCCCCAGAAACAGCGGAGAGCGGATGGAGCCTCATCACCCCTCTTTGCTTTTTGGCCAGGGAGGCACAGCAGATCCGGAGAACTTCTGCCGACCGGGGAAGAAAAGAAAAGGCTGTGCCCAGGGGCCGTGGCACGGGGCCAGGCATGGCGAGCTTCCGTCCCTCCTGCACCAGGACACATTTTTGGCAAGGGACTGGGGCGTCCGGGTGCCCAGCCCCAGGGTGGTTGCTGAAGCGCAGAGAGAGGCGACGGTGGAGTGGGTTGTTGGGCTTGAACCGAGCGCTCCCCGGCTCCCGGAGCCGCGGCACAACACGCACCGGCAGCTCCGGGTGTTTGGCACAGGCGGGCGGCCGCCTCGGAGGGCAGCAGCACCCCAAAACCCCGGGGCAACCGAGGGGCAGCAGGGTGCAGCACCCCCAGCAGCCCCCAGCAGGAAATGGGGAAACAGCAAAACAATAATAATAATAATAATAATAATAACAATACTAATAATAATAATAAAAAAAAATATGTAAACGACCCAGCACCCTGTCCTGTAGCACCAGGACACCCAAAAGAACAAGATATGTTACAGTCTGAGGGGAGATGGAGACACAAGGACTTCCCGGCCAACGCGGGGTCTTGTCTCTATTGCACTTTGCATCATATATAATTCTATATATATATATTTATAAAAATACAAACTAAAGGGGCTGGGGTGGAGGGGATGAGATGCAAGCCCTGGGCCAGCAGCAGTTCCCTGCAAACGGCAGGCCTCGACCCATTCTGCTTCTGCCTGTCCCCAGAGCCCCCTGCCAGCCCCCCCCGGGGAGAGGGCAGCCAGCAGCACAGGGCCTGACCCTGCAGAGGTCCAGCTGGGGCCGGGAAGGGAGGGCAGGGTGCTGAGTTGGTCCAGAGCCTGCCCATCCACCGGCCTTCCCTGCCTCCCCCCCATCACCCCTTCCCGAGGCTCCGAGACCCACAGCAACACTCTTCCCAACAAAAAGCTCTTCCCAACCGCCAGTGCCATGCAGTCCCCCCGTGGTGACGGGCACCTGGCACCCTCTCCCTGGCCAGCAAGTGCCCCTTCCTGGGGGAGGTGGGCAAGATCAACCTCACACCTCCCCTTCCGCCCAAAATACCCCACCAGAGAAGGTTTTTCCTGGCCCGGAGGTTCCCACTCTCTTTTCCTCGAGTGACTACGGCGCGAATCGCACAGGGTGATGTAGTCCAGAGACCCCCCCAACGCCAGTGATGGAGGATGCTCCTCGCTCCCCCCGGCTGCTCCTGCTACCTCAGCCGCCCGTCAGGTTTGACGGGCCCCAGTTCTGATTTGGGGTCCGGGGAGAGGGAGCTCCAGGAGGTTTTGCTGCAGGTCTCCAGGGAGCCGCAGGCGGAGGGGCTGACAACGCAGACGTCCGCCACGGCCCAGAAGGCGCCGATGGCACCGTCCACCCAGTCCTCCAGCGCTTTGCCCGTCAGCTGCGCCTTCCTCCCCGCCTCCTCCTCTGCCTCCTCGGAGCGCGGCAGGTTGAGGATCCCCCCCAGGCCCTGGAAGCTCTGCTCCATGTACTCGTTGCGAGGGGGCCCACCGTGCAGCCAGTTGCTGTCATCTGGGCAGGAAAAGGAGAGAAGAGAGAGGGGATGAGCAGCGCTGCAATGTCCTGGCACCCTGCTCTTCCTACTGCCACCCTCCCGGCAGGGCTCAGCCCCCCGTCCCCTTTGCAACCCCAGCTCTCCTCCAGCCCAAGGAGAGGGTGCTGCTGTGGGATGGATTGAACCGACCCACAAATGGGCCTCTGCAGCTGCTCAGGTTTAAGGACTCACATGGGCAAGGGGACACCAGTAGGGACGGCTCCCGCCTTGTCATCAGCTGCAGCCCAGAGGCCAGCAGTAGGGGAACACCTGCAGGGACCCCCCCGACCTCCAGAGCATCCTCACCTTTCCTGAGAGGCTGCTTGCGGTTGAAAGTCTGGGGCACCACCAGGAACTGGTTCTCCCCCAGGGGCTCCCAGAACTGGAGGAGGCGGATGGTCCAGACACCGGGGCGCAGGGGCCGATTGAGGGGGGGTTTGTACTGGGTGAACTCCGCCTCAGCATCCACCGTGATGTCGTAGGAAGCGGCGATGACGTAGGTGGGGTCGATCCACACCACTGTGGCCGTCAGGTTGGGGCCCCGCGACCACTTCTGCATGGCCACCGGCTCGTCGAAAGGGCCCATCAAACCTCCAAAATTGCGGAAGAGCCTTTCCTTGGGGTCCCACTCCGTGCCCACCTGGAGGGACAGGAGGCATGAGCAATGGGGTGCCGGGCGGGGAGATGCCATCAGCTCAGGTTTTGCATTTCACCTCCTCGAACCAGGGAAGGCACAAGGTTTGAAGCCCACAGCAATGCACACCCCACCTTCCACTGCTCCCCTGCCTGCCTGCACCTTGCTGGTGCCAATCCAGCCGTGCGTGATGCCTCCTGCAGCTGCAGGCAGAGGGCACCAGTCTCAGCTCCCCCTGAAAGATCCCCTTTGAGCCTCTTCCCCACCGACCAGCTCCGCACCCCACACAGAAGCCACGCTCCTGGACAAAGGTTTGTTCTCAGACATGACAGTGGCACCGTGTCCCTCTGTCCCCGCAGCACGGCATAGGAAAGCCAGGGAGGAAAGTGGGAATTGTGGGGGGACCTTTTCCCATTTACCTCAAGGTTCTGTAAGCGGTTTGCCTGCCCTCCGTGACCTGCCAGCTTCAGAGCTCCTTGGGGCATCATCCACACCTCCAGGGACTCTGCCTGCCCAGTTGCCAAATTCTGCACTTCCTGCATCACCAGGTAACCCTGGAAACGGTCGTCATAGAAATATAAGTGCACGCTGGATGGGAAGCCCCGGGGTTCGAATCTGGAGAGAGACAGACAGACGGAGAGGTTGCACATCTGAGCATCAGCATCCTCCCAGCACGAGATGCGGGGCACCACTCAGAGCCCGGCTCCAGCTCGCAGCAAATCCCCCACCTGCAGAGCTTGTTGGCCTTTGCTGCTGGCATGGACGTGGCTTTGTGAAGCCCCAGCCTGGAGAAGGACGTGTAGAAGGTGAGGGTGACATCGCTGAGGCCGCTGAGCCCGTCGACGCGGTCGTAGACATTCTCCCAGTACGCCTTCAGGGCCGGCGTGTTGGGCGGGTAGCTGCCATAGAGGTGCGTGTCCAGGATCTCCAGCACCTCCTGATTCACCGTTGACTCAAACTTGCGGGCGAAGAAGGTGGGTCTGGAGAGTTGCTGGAAGAGCACAGGCATTTCTAGCAGTGTTGGCTGCAGCCCCTCTGCCCTCCCACCCGAGCCAGGCAACTGGGAGGGAGCTAGATCGGGAAGAAACATGCTGGGACCCATCCTGCCCTCTTTGATGGCACAGGCTAAGGAGCAGCAAAGCACAGCCAGCCCCCGCGTGGCATCTTCTATGGCAGCGGGATCAGTGGGAGCACGCTTACTGGTAATGCAGATCAGTTCCCAGCTCTCCCACTGCCTCCCCCTTTCCGTGCTCAGAAGCAGCCATGTGTCATCTAGCTCCTTAGCTGCAAACTCTATTCAGATGGGCTCCCACCCTGCAGAGCCACTGCAGAGCCCTGCACGCGGCCTGCCCATGTGGAACAGCTCGCAGGATCAGGGCCCTGTGCTAAACGAGCCCAGGACTACGCTAAAATCCTGCTAAACACTCTTTTCAGGGCTGGGTGGATCTCCCCCAAACCTCCCCTGTTCAAGTTTACATCTCTACACCCTGAGAGTGCAGGAGATGGTTCGTCACAAGGCGTTTTGTCCTGCCAAAGAGGACAGCACTCTGAAGTGGTTTTACCAGGAAGGTGTTTGCCCCGTGAAAGGTCTGCAGGGAAAGAGCAGGAAAATGGGAAAGCAGCAGCATTGCAAGCAAAAGCCTGGCTGCTGGGCAGGACAGTCAGCCTAATCCCGCTGCCTGAGCGTTTATGGACATGTCTATGCCAAGCCCCACAGCAGCTGGGGAGCAAATCCTGCCCCTGTCCCTTGTGGGGCTGGGGTGACACTCGTGGGGACATGCACAGCAGCTGGCACGGCACCCAGGGGTGAGCCTTTCGGGGAGCTCAGAGGGGAGAGAGACGGGGAGGAGGGGAGGGAGCGGGAGGAGAAAGGAGGATCTTTTTCACCTGTAGCCGGAGGAAGTCCTGGGGTTTGAAGTCATTTGGGGAGCACCCGCACCAGTCGACTATGTGTTTATATTGGCACTTACAGCCCAGCTTCCGGTTCCAGTTGGTCACTCGGAGGTTGTTATCGACCAGCGTCTCGCAGGCGTGACTGTTCTCCAGGACCGTGTGGAAGAAGGACTGTGCAGGGCAGAGAAGGGACAGGAGACCCAGTGGGGATGGAGGACGGACATTAAAAGGAGACACCCCCCACCCCTCACTTGCAGGACAGGCCTCGACAGCTCCTGAACAGAAACCTATCCCTGTTCCCAGCAACACCTAAGAGACCCCTAGTGAGTTCTTGTCCAGCCCAGAGGAACATCTGGACCTAAAGCAGGGCTGGATATAAACATGACCCTTGTCCTATCTGCTCTTCTCTCCCCTCTTTCATGCCTGGGGCTGGATAAAGGGGAGGCACAAAAACATCTGAGCAGAACTATCAGTGCCCTTCGCAGCTACCCACGGTGAGGACGAGGAGGGACAGTGATATTAAGTACAGTGGGAAGAAAATCTGCCCCGTGCCCTGCAGCCAGCACCCACCTCGGCTGGGAGGAGCGTGTAGGTGTAGAACTGGCGCAGCTGGGACACCAGCTGGTCCTCGGCGTAGACCACGTACTCCACGAAGCTGCGGGTCAGCGAGAACCAGTCAGAGCCCCCGTCCACCACGATGCCCTCAGGGATGTGGCGCTCGCCCAGCCGCCACATGTGGGAGTCACACTCGTGGAACAGGCGGTCCAGGCCCTGCTTCTTGATAAACCTGGGCACGGGGACAAAGATGAAGGGTTAGGGACGTCATACACTTTGCTGGGTGCAGCTGCAGCCAGAACTTACCCCCCTGCCCCAACTGTTTTAGCTCTCTTCTGAAATCCCTCCTTTTTCTGTTCCTCCAGTTCAGCTCTGCCCCCCTAGCTGGGATTACCTGGCGTTGTCTCGGCCATGAGACTTGAGGAAGTTCTTATCTCGGTACTTGGACAGGAACATCACCAGCTCCTCATTGGTCCTGCGGTGCAAATTAGAAAGCATTAACAGCCCCGGAGGTAAAAGCAGCCCAGTAAACATTCACGCTGCAAGAGCCATCAGACATATGGAGCTTAAAGCTGCTTGGTGGGTGCTGACTCAAACCCTGGTCCCATCACTGGGGAGACACAGACGTGGCCTCTCTGCTGTCTGGCGCCTCACATGTGCCTTCGCCTGCAACACCCAGACCACAGGAAAAACAGCCTCCAAGGTACTGGCTGGTCTCCTCTGCAGAGATGGGACCAGCCTGGCCCCGGAGCATCATCATCACCAGCACGTGGGTGCAATCTCCAACTCCATCTTCCCTCAGCTCCCTGCCCCTCCCAAAGCTGCCGTAGCATCACGCAGCCCGAACACCTCCGTCATCCTCCTCTGCCCCAGCAAAGTCCTCACCTCGTGGGGTAGTCGGTGGCACTCAGGTTGATGAAGAAGTCCCAGGGCCACTCGGCCAGTTCCAGCAGGTCCTTCATGCTACGCAGGTACATCTTCAGCAGGCTGGCACCTCCCCAGATGGTCACCATGCGCCAGGGTGTCACTCGGATGTTGGGGTAGTGCCGGGCCAGCTCCACCGCCTCGTGATGGAGGTAGTTGGAGCGCTGCCAGGGAACACAGCTCATGGTCAGCAAGGAGCTTGTCTTCCCTGGGACCTCCTCGCCACCAGCCCAGGGTCAGCCCTTCCGGCAGCCTCCGCAGGGAGGAGAGCAGCAAGTCAAAACCGCTCTGGGCAGGAGGGATAGGTCTTGTTTCCTTGGGGTTGCAGAAATAGGGGTGGGAGGGTCACAGCTCCACCAGCAGCGAGGACAAGTGCTACGCAGCCACTTTTTCCACTCACCGCCCACCCACGACCCAGCTCTGTCCCAGCAACTGTTCTGGGTGCTGTTGGCACCCCTCGCCCCCCTGCCTCATACCTTGTCGACGTGGATGTAGAAGAAGTGCTGCTGGTGGTACACGGCCTTGATGAGCCGCTTCAGCTGGCGAATGGCCCTGCCGTGCACAACCAGCATGTAGGCGATGCGCACGGGCTTGCTGGGGGGTGCCTGCTGCAGCCGGCTCTCGTCCCACTGGATGACGGGGCTGACTTTGCCTGCATGGGGAAGGAGAGGGCTGTCAGACACCCCTGGCCTCAGCACCCACCACTCCGAGCTCCTGATAAATCAGGGAGACCTGAGCAAGGCAGGGGGACAGCAGGGAAGAGCTCGGCATCAGGCAAACCGCATCACGCTGCAGTGCCAGGGCACGGTGGTACATGCAGCCCCTTGGCGTTCAGTTGACAGGGACAACTAGGGAAAGGGGGGTGTCCTCTGTCCCCTCAAAGCAGAATCATAGAATCGTCTAGGTTGGAAGGGACCTTAAAGATCATCTAGTCCAACCATCAACCTAACTCTGACAAAAAAATAAAAAAGAAATAAACAATAAAAAAAAACAAAGCAAAACAAAAACCACTAAACCATATTCTTGAGGACCACGTCAACCCGTCTTTTGAACACCTCCAGGGATGGTGCCTCAACCACTTCCCTGGGCAGCTTATTCCAATGCTGGATAACCCTTTCCGTGAAGAAATTTTTCCTAATATCCAATCTAAACCTCCCCTGGTGCAACTTGAGGCCATTTCCCCTTGTCCTATCTCCTGTGACTTGGGAGATGAGACCGAACCCACTTCTCTACACCCCCCTTCAGGTAGTTATAGACCACGATAAGGTCTCCCCTCAGCCTCCTCTTCTCCAGACTAAACACCCCCAGCTCCCTCAGCTGCTCCTCATAAGAGTTACTCTCCAGAACCCTCACCAGCTTCGTTGCCCTTCTCTGGGCAGAAGGTGCAGCTGGGCCCAGCTCTGACCTCTGCAGGCACCGCAGGCTGGGTTGAGCAGCCCAGCTTCAGGAGACTAGCACAGCTTTGATTGGATTACAGAGACAGCGGTAATCTGGGAATCAGCGACAGATTGAAGCCGCTTTTTGCCAGGTGGGGCAGGCTGGTGACATAAGGAAGGTGGCCCACGTGCCTGGCTGGGAGATTCCCGATGCCCAGGGGAGACCGGGAACACCCCAGCAGGACTCACCCGAGAGCTGGCAGTGGCGAGGCACAGACTGGGGCATGAGGCTGCCGGCCCGGTGCAGACACACCACGTTGGCGATCTCCTGTTGGCACTGCTTGCTGCTGGCCCGGGCCAGCGCCGAGAGGGCGTCTTTGCCCGTGATCTCGCACTTGGGGGTGAAGCTGTTCTCGGTGGGCTGGGGAGCCCCCTCCACGCTGCCCGTGTCACCCTGCTGGAAGATGGCCAGCTGGGCCTCCCCGCGTGGCTCCGTCAGGTTCCTCCGGTTGGAGGAGTCCGGCGCGGCCGGCAGCCTCCGTCCCGGTTTGTGTCTCGCCGTCACGGCTCTCACCACCTTGGACACCAGTGCCCCGGGGCTGTCCGGCCGTCCCCGCCATCGCCCGTGCTTCCTGCTGGCGCTGCCCCGGCGCCCGGCAGAGCTGTCCGAGTCCTTGGAGCCGTCGCTGCTCTCAGGCAATCTGGCTTTTTTCTGCCGTTCCTGTACCGGTTCCAGGTGGAGGCAGAAGAGAGGACAGAACAGCATTAACTTGGGCCTGCCAACATGGTCCCCAGAGCTCGATACCCCCCGTTCTCCACGTTGCTCAGTGCTACAAAATGGCAGGAGCTCCGGGAGCAGCCACTGTACAGCAAAGGACATTACACCACCCCTCTGCCACTTAAGACCCCTCAGCACCTCCCTGCACGGTCCTATGCCCCCCTCACGGGGACAGCCACCTGTATGCCAGCAAGGGAGACCCCAATTTGCAGACCTCATCATCACAGCAACCCAGACACACAAAGAGGGTCTCGCTCCCCGCCGCCAGGCTCACCGCAAGACTAACTGGCCAAGGTTGGTTGTGTCTGCATCAGCCACCAACCACCCTCTGGGGTCCTGCAGGGGCACCCCCAGACAGTGGGGACAAGCACAGGGCTGCTCTGGCTGGCAGTGGTTATTTTACCAGGAGGAAAATGGACCAGCTCCTCCCTGCCATGATCACGCTGTGAGCCTAAGCCTAGCACACCTGTCTGGGAGCCAGGGTCCCAGGCGGCCTCAGCTGCACTCTCTGGGACTAAAAGCACCAGAGAGGCAATGAATGAGGTCCTGCCTGCACTCCATTCCCTGGGCCCCAGCTCCCTGCGCTGGGCTGGAGCAGTTGCTGTGATCACTAGCTTCTCTAGAAATCCCTTTAACAAACCCTCCTGCCGAGCCAAGCGGATGTGTAAAGGGAGCAGTTAATTATGCTTCGTTACCTCTGCCAGGCTGGCTGATGAGCAGAAACGAGTCAGCCTTGGGGAGAGCAGAGAGTTGGAAAGTTTGGATGCCCACGAGAGCCACGCTCCCGGGAAAGCACTTTCCCAGCGCGTGGTGCCGGCGGGGCTGGAGCCCGATGCCCCCAGCCCACTGCAGGCTCTCCCACCAGGCCCTGCCAGGGATATCACAAAACACCCTCAAAACCCTGCCTGCCCAGCGCTGTGCCAGGCACTGCGGGAGGCAGCGAGGGCATCTGGGGCTATTCCTGGGCAGCAGCATCTTCTGAGAACGGGCAGATGCCTCACAAGGACAGCGGAACTGAATTAGCCCCCGGCACAAGACACCCTGTGGGTATAGCTGCTGGGAAGGTCACAGCCAGAAGAAATGATGCCCTTCAAAGGCTGGAAAGCATGTAGCAAGATCTGCCTGCTCCAGCGTCCCTGAACTACCCATGTTGTGGTGGCACAGCCTGCAAACCATGGCTACCCAGGAAGGGGCCAAGCCACTGCTTAACTTCCAAGGGGCTGGCGTCAGCGAGGATGAGCCAAGTCGAGCCCCCTCTGCCCAGACAGGCGTCACAGGCGGCCCGAGACAGGCGCTGAACCGCTCATTAGTCACCACACAGGACCATCTGGTGGAGAGTTATAAACCTGTTCTCTCCACTGAGCGACGCAGGAGTCGGGAGGCGACAGGCAAGGAGCAAATCTCTTCCTGGAGGGATGGGGCTGGGAGAGAAGGGACTCATCAACCCCGCTCACACCCTCTGCTCCCAAACAGGCCTGGCTCTGGGGACAGCCCCCCGCATGATGCTCATCCTTGGTTACAGTCCTGCTTGTCCCCCTGGAAGGAGCCCTGTTCCCAGCTCACCAGCACAGCCGGCTGCCTTCCCCAGCAGGGAAGTCGTTAGAAGCATCGCCAGCCTTTCCGGAGCTGCCAGTTAACAAACTCAATGGCTTCTAATTACTGCACCGCAGCAGAGCGATCCCTCCACCCCAGCCTGGCAGGGAACGACACTGGCCACGTTGCTCTGCTGTATTTAAGACTTGTGTGCAGGAATTCTGGCAGGGAGCCCCGTCCCCCTCCTCCCAACATACAGATGACTCCGGACACCAGCCAGAGGACATTTCTCCTGTCCTGGGTCCCCTGATGTGACACCACCATCCCCACAGTACCACAGGGCTGTGGGGCACCCCATCCCCAGCACAGGTCTGGCTGTACCGATGTCTCCAAGCCACTTGCCATGGCGAGGAGCAGAGCTGACAGCATCTGGTGTCCTGCAGGATTCCCCCTCTGGTCGATTTACTCTGGCATCTGCCACATACGAGTGCTCATAAGGCAAAACCAGTGCCAAAATGTTCCAAAGTCACCAGAGGAATCCAGATGCTCGATTGCTAATTGCAGCAGTAGATCCTTAAACCTCACAATTAAAATGGCTGGAGACAGTCCCCTAAAACAAGCCATCAGGGTGGTGGTGGTGGGAATAAAAATCAAGGAATCTTAGCAAAGCTAGAAGAAAAGATGTTTTGTGGGCACCTTCTCTAAAGGCTGCAGCACATGGAGGACACCAACACATAGACCTCAGAGAGGTGCTGCCTCCTGCCTGGAAGAAGAAAGACAAAAGACAAAGTGGGAGAAGAGACGTGACTGGGCTAAAACACTTTTCCCAACAGATGGATCCTCTTCTTCACCCATGAGGACACTTTGTGGTCTGCATTTTCTTGGTGCCAGCTCCACTGTGGACCAAGTACTCCTGGATGCTCAAATGCTTGCTCAAGAGTTGTTGGTGTCACCACAATGGAGACAGGATCACTTCAGTCCCCCCATCTCTCACCTTTGTGTGCAGAGGGGTCGTGCTGTCTGCAGCGGGGATGCTGTCAGCAAAGGGCTAGGTACCAATGGGAATTTCCTCTCCCATCTGTCAGTCTGGACAGGGATTGTGGTGTTTGATCCCGCTGGAACAAGATAATTTGGCTTCCTGGAGGCAGGAAACTCAGGGCTGACCTGGGTGGATGGGGACTGATCAAACCTCTGCTGGTCTGCATGCCACAAAGCAGCTGTTTGGTGAATAAAGAGAGCCTGTAGGACCCTGACATCGGGCTTGTGAAGAGAAGTGACACGATCAGAGTGATGTGGTCTTCTCAAGGAGGGTTGGGCTGGTGGCTCTGATGTGGCTGAAGCCCGTTACAGGGCAGCAAACGATGGGTTTACAAACTGCTCCAGTGAAAAACAAAGATCCTCCCTCAGCCTCTGCTCAGCTCATACCAGGGAACCACCAGGGATGGAGCCAGGGAAGCTCTTCCCTCCCCTATGAAGGGAAGGAAAAGGAAGCCAGCAGGCTGTGAAGGATCAAGCAGGACAGAGAAAGAGGCTGCCACCGGCAGAGATCAGAGCAGCCCTGTTGGGAACACATAGGCAGCACAGGCTGCAGCACAGCCTCTGAGCTCTGCAGGTGCCCCAGCTGAAGGTGCTGGTCTGGAGGGGAAGGTGAGCTCACCCAGCTCCAGACACTCCATGGCATTTACAGGACTCGAGTTTCATTTTTGCTCTATACAGCCAGTCACAGCCCATTCGTGGTAGGGACAAGCCAGGTTAGAGCTGCGTCGATTAGTGGGAAGGAGCCATTTACTCTGGCAATTAAGAGATCTCAAGATTTCCCAAATCCTTCCACGCCTGCAAGGTCACACTCTCCTGGGAGGGTTTCTCCAGCTTTACCAGAAATGCCCCTGGGGAACGGCGGCTCCTCCAGGTCTGGTCAAAATCAGAAGCTGCAGGAGGGCACAGAAACCAAGAGCTTTGCCGTTTTATAAGAAATCAAGGTTAATTGGACTTTTCCCAGCTTGCTAATGGGTTTGGGCTGTCTGTAAAGTTCAGGAGGGTTCTTGCCTTCCCCGAAGAGGTTTGTCTGTTCCCAAGCCCTGCAGTCAGGGCTGACAGGTTTGGCAAATGGGACTCATGGCCAAACCTGTCAGCTGCCCAGCTCAGTTTGGGAAGAGACCTGGGGAACCAGGTGAAGAACTGAGGCCGTGCAGGGCAAGAGAAGAGAAAAGCAGAGAAGCAGTGCGAGATGGTGCAGAGAGGGAAGGACAAGCCAGGACAGGTGAAGTGATTTGGTCAAGGTCATGGAAAAGGGGAAGGGGCAGTGGGGCACTCCTAACCGCCAGATGGGTCTGCTTTCATGCTCTCATTGCCTCAAGATCAAGGGCAACCCCATGTCCCTTCCCTCCTTGCCACATTTATTCCCTGGTTCTGTTTTGGTGGTGGGCATACAGCAGCACACGAGGGTGGTCACGGCTGTTCATGGTCTCCCAAGAGGGGGCATGAGCTTGGGAATTAATCTGCTGCCTAAATGCATCTTAAATCTGCCTTCGAGACCTTCCCCCCCTGCAAGCAGCTGCCCAGTTCCCCTTCTCACCTCTTTGCTCTTGGAGAAAACTTTCTAGTCCCCTGAAAAGACCTGCTGACCACGGGGTCACCCTCCACATCAGGAGGTGCCCCACAATGGGGAGGGGAAGCTCTCGCCCCTCCAGAGATCCCCACCTCTCACCTCACAGCTACTCTGCCACAGCTCCTGCACTCACGCCTGTCCTTGCACAGCTCCCAGCTCTCACCTCACGCTGTCCCCCCTCCTGCCAAACCTGGCTTCACTGTGGGGCTTGTCAGCAGCCCCCAGAGAGTCTTTACAGCCCCTGGAGCACAAGGGTCCCACCCCAAGATGAGGGGCTGAGGTCCCACACAGACATTCGCCAAGGAATCTCATACAGGGACTCTCAGCCCTTCCCCAATGCTCTTGGAGAAACCAGCTTCAGCCACAGATGCAGCGGGCCTGGACATGGCAGCTCACAACAAACATGTTCAAATAAGCCAAGTTCAAAACAAAGTTCAAAAAAGGCCAAGAGCTTTGTTTGAGGGTGGCAGCAGCGTTCTCCAGAGGCCTGGGTCCTCCTTGACACCTGCTCCCTCTCTGACCTTGGCCAAACACCTTTGCCAGCCCGTGCCTCGGTTTCCCCACACATAAAAAAAAAGAGGTGATGCTTTTTGCCTTAGCAGAGTGTTCTTCTATAAGACTACAGATGACTGCCCTTGTGCCCTCGCACTTCACAGGGACATCCCTGACCGGGGCAGCCAAACAGAAGCTGCCACAAACTTGCTGAGCTGCTGTGTGTGCTCTCCCCAGCTCTCTGAATTACCGTGTGGTTTTGCATTCCCTTACCTCAGGTCCCACCAGCCCCAGCTTCCCACAGTGTCTCCCAAAACACAGAGAAGCACAAGACCCCCAACGAGCTTCCCACCCCACGCCGGACCCCCTCAGGCACCCCCTGGGCCACAGTGTTTGTTTCTCAAGTGCCACAACCCCACACTGCTGCAGCTGGAGCCCCCTCACGGGCCACAGCCCACGGCCTGCCCCACAGCCACTGCCCCACAGCAGCCTGGGACCCCCACCCACCCCAGGGACCCCATCATGGGGCAAGGCCTCGCCAGCCCCACAGGGACACACAGAGGGGGGAGCATCCCCTTCAGGTCCCCTCCCAGCTCCAGAGCAAGGGGACATGGGCATTTCCCCCCCACGGATCCCCACCCCATGGGTCTCTCCCCCCCAAGAGCCCCCTCCTGGCACACACCGCCCTCCCAGGACCCCCCGAGGCCTCCCTCAAGCCCCTCCCCACCTCTTCTGTGCCCCCTGTCCC